AAAATTTTAATTGAGAAAATAGTTGAAAAATATTATATAAAAAGTTATAAAAAAATTTTAAGTAAAATTTTATTAAAATTTTGTTAAATTATTATTTTTATTATATTTCATAAAAAATTAATATAACAAAATTAGTAGAAAAGTTAAGTGAATCCTATAGGCTTAAAGTCATCAAAAATTTCTAAACTCATCAAAAAGGTTCATTAACATCCTTGTACCAAAGAAGAATTCATAAAAACCCTTGAACTTTGGTGAAGAAGCCAGGCGTGGTCCCTCCTTAGCTAGGTGCTGACTTGATACTAACGATGGCTTAGATGACGCTAACGGAGTTAAAAAAACTGCTGACATGGAATTCAAAATACCATTTTAACTTTTCACACGTATAACAAATCCAATGCTTTCTAAATAAATTTATAAAAAATTGTAAAAAAAATCCAAAAAAAAAAAAAACTGATTTAGGCCTCAAATTTGGGAGAACCCACTCGGAGCTAAGAAGTGAAATTGAGGTTCTCAATTTATTATAATATTATATATACTTTGATTTTCAATTTGAAGAATAATGGTGAATGTATTTATTTGCAAATATGGAAGAACCGCAATGGTGGGGTCTTTCAATATAAGGTGTCTGGTCCTATCTATGGCTATCTTACATAAAGCACAACAGATAAATGAGGACTTTTCTTGTGCTCAGAGTAGTTTTCAATCGCTCATAATGCGTTTCCATCTCCCATTATAGGTTTTTCATCAAATCCTTCTCATTGGTGTTCTCTTAATACCATGGAATTGAAATTTAATACTGATGCTGCTTTTTGCTTTTTCTCCCACCAATCAATAGGCAGCTATGGCTGTGGTATGTAGAGATAGTTGAGGGTCATTGTTGGCAGGACATGCTTTCAAACTAGCTGTTTCTTCAATGTTGATTGCAGAGGCTTTAGCCTTACGTGCAGCTGTAGGCATGGCTATTTCTCAAAATGTTACCAGGGCCATATTTGAATCAGACAACAAATTCCTTATTCAAATTGTCAACAAAGAGAGGTGAGTTCCATGGTGGATGGACCCTTTGATTAAATCTATTTGGCAACTTACGGATAACCTTGAGGCTTATAGTTTTGTGTATATACCTAGAGAAACAAAAAAGCTGGCAGACTGGATAGCAAAGCACAAAGTAAACGACCAGTGTCCAGTGTATTGAACTCATTACCCGCCAACTAATTTTCAACTTTTGTTAACACAGGATATAATAAGTTCATCTTAATATAATGAAATTTCAACTTCATTTAAAAAAAAAATGATGAATAATAGTGAAAATTACAAGCTAACAGTTTGTATTTTATTGTAAGGAAGTCTTATGTGAGGTTGTTAGTAAGTTTCATTAGGGATGATAAACTATTTGACTTCTTTGAGTTTTTTATTTTTATTTTTATTTTTTAATATAATTAAGGAATTTATGTTAATATACGTCTACCTTATAAATTTATTAAAATATTTTTAAAAAATATAAAAAATATTTTCATTAAAGATATTTAAATAAGTTCATAAGGTAGATAGTATTTTTAATGTTATTTAATTCTATAAAACAATTTTTTGTATAATTAATATAAAGATAATTATTGGTATACATTTTAATTCAATATATTGCATAATACATTTATTAAAAAAATTATTATATTTTGTTATGCAATTAAAAGAAAATAAATTTAAAAATACATGTACATATATAAGATTTAGGAATTGATTATATTTATATTGTATTTTAATAGTTAAACCAAGACATATATCAAAAAATGTATTGAACCAAATATGTATTAATTATTTTTCTTAATACAATTAAAGTTAATTAAAATCTTGATCAATTAAAATTTTAAATTTACTTAATTAAGTTGATTTATTAAAATTTATGGTTAATTAAATTTAGAAAAAAAGTGAAAATTAGGATATTTTGATATTTAAAATATTAAGTATACTTATGAAATTATTCAAATATTTTTAATAAATCTTTATTGCGCTAATTCATTAAGATTATTGAAATAATTTTTGTTATTATTCTTGATATTTTAACTGTTATGACAATATGATTTTCTTTAATTTTATTGAAAAGTTTTTAACTTATATCTTAAAAGTATAAGTTAAAAGTATATTTATTGTACTTTTTATTGGTAATTTACATAAAAAATAAAAGTTAATTTACCATCCAATTGAAACATTTTACATGACATTCAGTGTTGAAAATAAAGTTTATTTTTCATAATTTTTATATAAATTAATGATTAAAAATGTAATAAATACGTATGATTAATATGTAACTTAAAGACATATATTAGGAATTTTTTTTTATGAGCAATACTTATTAATATGAGGTGTGATTCATTTATATATAAATTTTAAACATTATGTTATACAAAATTTTAATCATTTATTTTTTTATTTTTAAT